AATTAATTTAGCCTATGAAGATTTATTTGAGCTCTGAGGCTCTTCTTCAAATTCCACCGTTCTTGTAAAATCCGTGACAAATATATCAAAGCGAAGCGTTCTATTTACGTATCGAATATGTTGTCACATTTTTAATACAAAAGTTAAACTTTTCTCCACTTTGATGCCCTTCGGAAAGATTTGTCTTTGAAAAGTTGATATTCTAATTAATTTAAAAGTAGCGTTCCCATGTATAGTTGCTACCCTTTTTGGTGTTGTGATAAACAAAAAATTTTAAAGTGTGTTCTCATATTTACTGTTTCGATGTTATGGTTTTACTTATTAATTAATTTTTGTTTGTTTGTTTATTGGACAGTACATATTTTTATACGCATTAGAATCAATTTACAGCCTAATTGCAAAGCTTTTCGTTTAAAAAAAGAGGCATTTTGAGTAATATATTTTTACTAATTTCTTTAAACATTTGTTATTTTGTTAATTCTATATAATTTTTAAGCGTTAACTACAGTTCCGTGTTTAGACATGTATTTAGTTTACCTTAACACCAGAAAATGGTGGCGACAATGCACCAAAATGTTTTTTAGTGTAGAATAAACCACGATATTATTGTAAAGTAAACCTACGGAAGAATTTTCGCTGCTCATTATAATTCCGATTTTGGATTGGCCATCAAGAGTTCTTGGCCCTTATCCCATATAAAGCGTCTCGATGATAGTTTCGAAAGTAAATTTATTTAATTGTCGGGATATATATTTATATAATTCATTAAATGTAATTTATGCATTATAAATCTTACTATACATACTTTAGATTTATATAAAATTCTGATTCATTATTCGAAGATGCCAAGTTTTCAAATGGACTGAAATTTAACTCATTCTATTGCTAACTCAGCTATTGTTTCTTAATTAAAATAAAATTATTCCTTAAAAATTTATGTCGTTACTACATGTATTAGAGTTTGAATACATTTTTATCACTTTAGTAGTAAAGTTGATTCCATTCCAAATTTTTAATAGTAGGCTTTAAAGTTCATTAAACTTATTGAAGCGTTTACCCTTTATGATACTTTCTAAGAAAATACGTGCTAAAGTAAGTATGCATCCAATAACGCTGTACCACAGAAAGCCTATTTTAAACTACACAAAAACATGTCTGAAAAAGAATAAGTAAGGCTAAATAAAATTCGGAATTTTCTAAAAAAAGTTTACTTGCAGAAGAACATTGCAGAAAAAATTGAGGAAGAAAGCATGATTTTTTTTTTACAAAAAAGTACTATTGCTTTTGTATATGAGATGCATAAACAGTTGAAAATCAATATAATGATAAGCAGCAGCACACATTTAAAATTGATGTTTTTGCATCGAATCGCTCATCAGTACTTTTTAAAAAGATTTGTACCTTACACGTTTTCCTTATTTCCATTAGATAGCTGCACTATACATAAAATCATATCATTAACTGAAACAAAGTCGTTGTTTCCCTTAACCGAAAAAATTCTCCTAAATACTTTAACAATGTAGCTCATCCTTATTTTGTAACATGTCGCAATTTATACTGAAACATGACATCTCTGCAAGGAGCTTTTCCTCAGTATTCTTCTCAGAAAGGTATTCAGCTCTGCATTCTTCTCTTCATTCCTTTCAGAATTTCTACGAGATAGCTACATATTACACAGAAACATATAATTTTAATACATTGAAATATTTTTTTTTTCGCTAAAACCCTCTTCTAAACAATTTGAAAGTGTGGTTCATCCAATTGTATTTCCCAAAATTTTTCAATTTTACGCCTGAACTATAGAGCTTATTTATTAACCGCAACACAAAACTGTATTAATTGGTCTCTCTGCTTTGTGGCACAGGTTTATTAATATCGCTAATTTTGAATTTTATTTAATGGAATTATAAAATTTAAAAATATTAAGAACAGAGGGGTCAAAAAAATGTCTAGGTAATACTTTAAAAAGTTGATTGTCCCTAATCTGGTAAAAAACTAAATAGCAATTGAATAAATTGTTTCTGTAGTATCAATAGAATGCATTTGTATAGAGTCCTTGTCCATTGCTTTGCGTATTAGAGAATCTTTAAATTATTTTCGTTATGATTGGGGGAACGATTTCTTTTCATATTGGATTACTTAGTTTCAAAAGTTTTCTGATACATATGTGAAAGCCGTGATGGCTCAGGGGATAGAGTGTTCGCCTTCCAATGAGGTACGCCGGGTTCGAATCCCGAAGGTGCCTGGTCGATACGAATTCTGAATCCAGCTTGTACTAACCACAGTGATAATGTAAAATTATCCTCAGTGGATCTTGGGCTGGAGTCCCCTTGTCGTCAGGCTAACCGTGGGAGGTTTTCGTGATTTCCCTCTGAATGTAACACAAATGTGTGTTAGTTTTCTCAGAAAGTCTTTCAGGAGGGCGAAATTTCCCCCAATACTTGATACAGGAGTTTCCTTGTCTTCTGAATTGGTTTCAAAATTACAAGGCAACGGAGTTTAATATTAGTAGTCTTAAACCCGAAAATTGGGTCGGCTATTCAACGACGGCTATGAAATAAAATAATACATGTTACTCAGTGTTATTTTAAATTATAATTTCTGTTGCAGAACAAAAAAAATGGTGTATTCTGAAATTTTCCTTATAAAATTTAGATGTTTCCATTTTATCGAAACCACAACAAAATATACACTACCACCATATTTAATGCCCCCCCCCCAATTTTTTTGTATAATTTGTGTTGTCAGTGAAAATGTCGATAAATAACGCAATTAATAATCATTTCATATAATAATTTCTAAGATAGTGTTACTTTAGAATTCAGAATGGGACAACAGCTTGGAATAATACTTGAAATCTCTCTAAAGAAGGAAAATCTTATTTAACAGTTTCTAACACTCACTTATTAGTTGTTGTTTGAGCAAGCATACGAAATTTATTTTGAGAAAATGTTGAAGTTGCATTAAAATGACTTGTGGCTATTAGGACGACCCAATTGTCTGTACTGAATAGCAACGTGGATTGTGTGTACTTAGAAAATAATGTTCCAAATGATAGGACATCAGGCTGTATACCACATTCAGGGCAAATAAAGCGCACTATTGGAAACGAAAGGCAATTAAGGGTAGTAAGTTATGCATAATGGTCGTTTATGTTCAGCTAAGTCCCATAAAGTTCCTAATGTAAGAATAACTAACCGATAAACTGAAAATTTTGTTGATATATTTTGATGCATATTTTGTACGAAACTCGAACATTTTATGATACTTATTGTCTTATATCCATAATAAAGATCTGATGTCAATACTGTAAAAATATTCACTAAAATATAGCCAAAACTATCATTGAGGGAGTGAAGGTTATCGAAAAAATTTATATTCAGAAAATTTTGAATTCCAATGAAATAAAAATGGTTTTTTTTCATTTTGAATAGTTACGCTCTGGTACTATTGAACATTGTAATAAAACTACTGAAAGAGGTCCCATTCATACATCCACTCTATCATCCATAGGTCGTATTTTTGACCTGAACCAGAGAACGATCAATCTCGATTTCAGTACCCCAAGAGATTTAATTTGTAATGGGAACATAGAGGGTTTTGTAACTCGACAAATTTAACATGCACTAGTGACCATTTACTACAAGGTCAGTCTCAGAATAGCTGGGTTCGAATTCCCATTCTCACGAACGTGAGTCCAACGCCCTGCCAACCAGGCTATCCGGCCCCTTCCTTTTTAGTAATTATTATAACTGCACTATCTGATATTGCATTCTAGTTTAGGCACATTTCTATCATTTTATTTCTTTTCATAACCAGCACTGAACAGCTGACTCAATTCTCCGTTTTTGGCTATCAATGTTCAACTCTGTAACCTTGTAATTTTGAACCCGACCTAAAAGACAGGAAACTACTGAATTAAACATTGAGATAAACAAGCATTCGTGGAGGACTTTTTGATGGAACTCACACGTATTTCCGTTACGTAGAGAGGAATACTTCACGCGGTTAGCCCGATATAAAAGGAAATCTAAATCAGCTTTGTGGTCAGTGCAAGCCAGCAGCTAAAATCGCATCAGCTAGACAACAATGGGATTCGAACATGGGTCACTTTATTGAGACACGAAAGCTCTAGTCTCTCAGCCACCACGCATTACCAAGCTGTTCTTTTTAAAATTCGTTGAAAGGCTGACCTACATTTTTGAGTTTACGGTTACTAATGTTCTTCCCCGCAGCCTTGTTATATTGAACCCAATCCAGAAGACAAGGAAAAGCCTGGATCGAGTATTGGGAGAAATTTGCCTTCGTGGAGGACTTTTTGATGGAACTAATCCGCATTTGCGTTACATGGAGAGGAAGACCACGAGAACCTCCCACGGTTTGCCAGACGGCAAGGGGACTCTAACCCCATGAACCGTCTACCATTGAGGATAGTTCAAGTCAGCACTGTGGTCGGTGCATGCCGGATGCGGAATTCGCATCGACTGGGATTCGAACCTGGTTCGCCTCATTGGAAGGCGAACGCTCCATCCCCTGAGCCATCGCAGCTCGCCTAGCTGTCATTGTTAAAAATATGGTTTTTATCACCGGTGGTGTCTAATTGTGCTCCAAGTTTAAGTTCAATTTCGAATTGCAGAGGAAATAAAATGGCATTTACGTAATACTGACCAACATTTTGATTTTGAAAAATACAAATTCTCAATTTCTATGACATCTTGGCCGATAGAATAACTGTTATTTGAGTGCTTCAATTTTTTAAAAATTTCATACAATGCACTCTGAGTATTTCTTTTTTAAATATGACTGTTTTCTTGCTTAATAAAATAATAAAAAATACGATTTTTATATTAAACCTTAAATATTCATTAAAAATTTGAAAATAATTAATTTACTCAATTAAATTCACGCTGATCGCAATGGAAGATATCTGGACATTCTATATTTTCAGAGGATTCGTTGAAGAGAAGTAATAGTTTCAGATATCAAATAAAAAGTATGTATTACAATTTTTCAAAATAACTTTAATTTCAATAAAACAGATAGGAAACATGTCAACAGATACAAAAATATGATGAATGTCTTATAAGTATCATACGTACATCAAAAATAATTTACATCCGTGAGGTTGAAGTAATGATATCATTATTTTCTTTTTCGTATTTTAGTTCCTTTGTTTTGAGTGAAATTTTTTGTTTCATCCATAGCCGAGTAACTGGACTAAGGCAAACGGAATCCTCTGGGATTTCATTGTTTTTCCACCCTGTAAATATGAAATTGCATTAATGAAAAAATAAAAATTCAGCATTATAAATCATTTTATAAAATTATTTGCTATGTAAACTGTATAAAGCGCGTTTCGATATTTTAAACCATTGGCTTATTAAACGTTTACTTATTTAAAAGCATTGGTAAAAATAACGCTCAAATCAGGTCGAATTGGGTTTAATGCTGTCAAACGTAAGAACCTTCATTACAGTGTACTTTCATGTCTTCTGACATTCAAAATTAGCATTTTATTTAAGATTTATACGAAAGGATTTAATAAAAAAGAGAGTTTTTATTTTCCTTTCTTCTTATTTTGTCTTCCATTATGAGGTCGTGGAGAATAGTCAGTGTTTGGTTGAACCACTGACTAAGACTCAGCATATTAGCTGGGCAGTGTTACCCCAGAAATATATATATATATATATATAAAGAGAGAGAGAGAGAGATATATTACTTCATAGTTTCGAATTTCTATTTTTACTACTATAAGTCATAATAAACTCTAAACTCAGTGGCACGACAGACCATGGAGGGCCAAGTCATATTGTGCCCATCTTAGTTTTCTTGACCTTGGGCTCTGGAGTGCGGGAGCAGATGTACCGGTCCGGTGGTCAGTCGAACGCGGAATCCCCAGTGTTTAGTTCCCAAGCATGCTTGGTGCTC